CTTATTTACTTCATTCGCTATTAACGAAAAATCACAAAAATCAATTAAAGATACTAATTAAGAAGACTGATGTTATTAATTTCCGGTAGTTCTTCTAAATTCGCTATTGTTACGAGAAATCGAACAAATGCATGGATGCAGGTATCGTCGTCTAATGTCATGATTCTTCCTTACTAGAACGAAAGAAATTAAATATTAAAGCGAATCATAACGATCCATTCGGTTCCATTTAAGTCACGCTTACCAGATCTAATATTAGCCCCAATCAGCCTCAATAAAGGAGAAAATAATGCCCTGCATACATACATCTATATGAATACGCGGCGTTATTTATCCCATTTGCGTCCACGTGATTTAACCCAGTCGCAAGATATATAAAGGTGTCTCGATATCCCTCGAATGGGCATAGATTCACTGCATCCTCCAGTGATTCTCCTGGTCATAGTCTTCTCGCATCGTGAAATCGTACTCTACGGTCGATGATCGTTTCACTTGAAGTTAATTTCTTACTGTGATACCGTGAAGAAGAGTTCAGAAAACATTCACTGAAGCAACCGCAAAAGAGAAGTGTGTTACGACGTGAAATCGCAAGAAGTTATTCACATTTAACGAAGACAAAGAAGAAATCGCAGAGTGGATCGTGCCTGAATTTCAAGTTCAGTCCGAAGAGGCTCCTGGCCTCGACGATACCTCGATAAAAATTGAAGTTCCATCCGAATAAACTTTGTGTCTACATTGAATTGTTCCACTGAATTCAATTAAAAGAAGAAGACTTGGAATCAGTGAGACAGAAAAAATGCGTAACCCAACTACGGAACAAATTCTAAAGGAGGAAGAATGCTTCGAAATCATTCAAAAAAAGCTGCACAGGGATGCTATGCATGATTTCTCGTTGATCGGGTATGAAGTGATCCCCATAGATGAGGTGAACGGGTTCATGGGACAGTATTTCACGCTGAAAGCAACTGTGGCTTCAGAATTTGAGACCAAGAACATTAATTTCTTCACCAAATTGCCACCTCCTGCTACCAGTCCACAATATGACTTTATTCAACAGTACGGAAGCTTCAAAAAAGAAGTAGCATTATACACCACGCTATTTCCGGAAGTGCTAACGGACACAGTCGGCGTCGGGGGCAAGAAAAGGTATTAATTTCAATAATTCAATAATATTCTCAATGTTTTAGTTATACAAATATTCAATAATATTTTCAATGTTTTAGTTATACTGCGTTTAAAAAAGTCTTTATTATTAATTTTGTTTAATAATATTTAGCTATATACCCGAGTGTTTCCTGGGTATAGAAGACGACGTAATCGTTCTGGAGGACATGGGCCACAACGGTTATGAAATGACCGACAAATTAAAACCCTTTGACTTGGATCATTGCCAAATTTTGATGAGGACGCTGGCCAGGTTCCATGCTAAGTCAATTATATTCGAAGAATTGTATCAGAAAAGCCTACAGGTACGTAAAAACTAATTCCTACATATGCATATGTATAATTTCTTATTATATTGTTTATAATTTTTCATCAATCATCGTCTTTATCAGGACGAATTCTCCCACTGCATGGAAGAAACCTTATGGCCGCTGAAGGAGGGCAGATCGAAATCGATGTTCGACGCTGCGGTCAAAGGAATCGTGTCTTTAATAAATATGATGCCGGGCCTCAAAGAGGAGGAGCGCGAAAAATTTACCGTAAAGGTAATCGATATGTGCGTGGATCACGCTAATAAATTACTACCCTCGATTAAACACAAGAACGTGTTGTGCCACGGTGACTTATGGGCGAACAATATACTGTTTAAATACGATGTGGACGAGAAACCGGTGGAGTGCTGTTTGATCGACTTTCAGTTGGCCAGGTAATGAACCACTTATATAACCGTCTAATTCATTTAATGATTCACTTAATGGTACTGTTTTATCAATAACTTGCTGCCTCGTGAATAATCCATTTAATAATCTATTGTCCTACACATATACGATTTATTTGCCACTCCTTCAATGATTTGTCTTACGTAATACATAAATTACCGGTGACAGAGTATAGCTGTACAATAATTTTATGCAATTTAAATGGGACAGCTTGTATAACACTTTTATCAATGTTCCTCAGGTACAACCCTCCGGCGCACGACATTCTCTGCTTCCTCCAGTTCACAACCACTCGCGAACTCCGTGAGAAACACAGCACGGACCTCTACAAACTGTACCACGAGACCATGTCCGAGGTCCTGCACGAAGCCGGGCTAGACGTCTCCGAGATATTCCCCTGGGACCAATTTCTCGCCTCCATCGAAGACCTGAGGGTGATGTGCATAGCCCACGGTGTTTTGAACATACCCATCATGCTCTTGGAACCGACCGCGGCCAGCAAATATTTTTCAGAGCAACCTGAACTGTTGGAGAACGTTTTGTACGTCGATAGGTCGCCTCTGCTTTGTGAACAAGTCGAAACGGTCCCTTCTTATAGAAACAGGATGATGGACGCGTTACTAGAGTTGTACGATCACGTTGTAAATTGAATTTATAACATTGTGTCTGGCGAATGGATTCGCATATTTATTTATACCGAATAGGAAGATTTTTTGGTAAACGACATGAATCGATTTGAAATCAGGAGGATGGATTAGAAAAGTATTCAAGGAGTTGTGTAAAACAAATACAAACAGTATTACGTATAGTAGACTTTTAATTATGGCTGTTTGTCGAGTAACAAGTACATGATAAAATAAGTGTATAGTATATTAATAATAATTATAAGTAGTTGAATTATACATATAAGTGTATGATAATAGGTAATAAATTATGTAATTATGCAAGTTTGTTTGTAAGTAAATTTATTGCTATTCACATTATTTCGTTTTATATACAATTATAATATATATTACACTATGTACACTTTACGTCAATATCGAATTTAAAACATTCTGTCGCGATTGTCGTTCTCTGAATTAGGAAAAAATCAGATTCAAAAAACTTGAGGAATAATTTTACATAAAAGGATAGGCAGAAGTATTGCAGCTCGTCTGGTGTTTAATTAGTTTGAAGAAATTTGTGCGCAAAACATACGCCGCCGTTTTTTTGTCTTGACGAAAGGGAAGAGCGCTCGCACGATACCCGTGCCAATTATGTATACACGGAAGATAAGTATTGAGTTAAACAAACAATAACACGAAGTGAACACGAGGAAATTAGGAGCAACGAGCTGTTCCCAACGTTTCCCTATACATACTTTCAAAGCGTTTTTGTCTTGTACTGTTCCATGTATCCTTGAATAATTGGATGCCTGTAAACTCTTAACGAAGCTACAGAACCGGCGCAAGCACCGACCCAGTAAACGATTACGTGTTCCATGAAAGAAGTTCCCAGGCATCCGTACTTCAACGAAGTCGCCAGCGCGGGATTGAAGTAGCCTCCGGAGTAATCGAAAGCTGGAATCGGTGATCGAATGCATTATTACTGATTGACCGAGAAATCAAGTCGGCAATGGAGACGTACAATTGTACTAACCCGCGATTACCAAAGTGGTTCCAATAAAAGAGTCGAGGATAGTGCTGAATCTCGAGTTTATTTCGCTTAAGCCGCGCGACACCACGCGATATATGCAAGTAGCGATTCCTTCGATGAACGCTCCGAATATTACAGGCACCTTCGTACAATTAATGTTATAAATAAAAAATTACAAACCGTAAACTTATAAGTAGACTTAAAAACAAGGAATGAGCGGAAATCTAAAGCTATCGATCTACGCACTTGCAGATCGGTGGTACAATCCGTGAAGGCCTTGTTCTTGTGCGTGGAAACGATTTCAAGAGCCCACAGTACTTGAATGTATCGGAAAATGACCAGACCGCCGACGAGTTCCGCCCAAATCAGGAGGAACGCGTCGCGCACCGATTTCGTTCCCTCCACGACGTCCTCGATGTGGGTGTACGGGCAAGCCGTGGCCTCGCCCCAATTCATTGACCACCATATCGTTAGCAGAAATAGGTAAACGCCATACATAGATACACCCCAATTATCCGCAACTGTTCATTATATATTTCGGTACGGTGCGAATTAATGTAGAACATAATTTCACAGACAATGTGCATTGTATTAAGGAGATTACTACATTTAATTCTGCGAATATTGCATGTCCCGATCATAAGAAGAAATAAAAATTGTAAAAAAAACAGCATAGGCAAAGTTTTATATATTATAAATGGATTTTTTAACATTATAAAATTGATCAATTGTTTCGTTGCGCTAGACTACATACTCACTTATTATCAATTCGAAACACGCCCCGCAAAGTTCGCCGGTAGCGATTCCTTCTAAGAATAGCGATCTAACGAACGGGTCCCGTATGTAATAGATCGTGTACCTCCTCAACCAGTACGCGATCAGGCTCGTGAGCACTATGTACAGCGTGGACACTGCCAATGCGATTAATGTCGCTGCCATGCCGCGTCAATTGATTATTCACTTGATATATCGGATCTTATCAAATCGGAAACTAAAAAGTTACCTAAGTAACGAAATATTTATTCAGATGCATGAATAAAAGCTAAAAAATATATCTCTTATATTTCAATGTCATCTATCATGATTTGTGAACGGAAATCTGATTTAAGTTAGAGATCGAGCTTATTGTGACCTAATGTTATTTCACTGAAATATATTGCAGAAATGGAAATCAGTTATACCTCTAATGCATTATGCAGATTCTTGTATTTAATTTCTAAGGAGAAGAAATTAAGTAATCTATTTAGAAGTAGTTTTTCTGTATCATTAAAAACTTTTCTGTTATTCACAATGGTGTAATTAGAAGATATTTGTGTGCATTCATTTCTTTCCTCGTACAAAATAATGCATAAAGTTTCCACGTTTGCGTGTGGGTAGTCCGAATCTAATAAAAAACCAGGTCTCCAGTTACGTAACGGTGAAAAACTATGGTTTCACTGATTTCGATGATTCTCTTCACTTTAGTATTTAACTCAGGAGTCAACGTGATACGCTAGTACTTACGTGTGTCTGTCATCGGATTTCATTTATCATCGCGAGTAACATATTTCAGCGACGGAGCGAACGTTTACTTATTGTTAGAAAACACTCACGACTAAATTCTGTTATCCTTTAGTGCGCGCGGCAGCGAGATTTAACGCTTTAGCTTAAGTGGGTACGTAGTTGTGTGTATGTACCCACTTAAAATTGGCGACCGGTTTAATTAGATATATCCGCGTTGCAGCTTTAAATAGATTGTCTCCCGAATTACGAATTTCTATACGTATAATACACAGAACCAGGGAGTGCCACTTATAATCGTACCTTAATGTTCGCAACTTTTCTAAATTGATTTTAATATGTATCTAATGAATGGCTAAATTATATTTTTCACAATATACTTTTACTTGTAATTATTTTATTAATTAAATAGGAAAATAAATAAGGAAACTGAGCGAAGTTCCATTGTGGCGATTACGGACAACACCGTTAACATAACTTATTTGTAATACAATACAATACAGATACATAATACAAAATATATAAAATGGTCCATGCAGACTAAACATTTAAGAGATATTAGGAATATAGTTATGATGGATGTTTTTATTCATCTCATGAAGTATTAACTACATTTATTTATTACATACATAAATGATTTCATGTTGTTTTTTTCCTTGAACGTGTGCAAACGTGCACGATTGCACACACATTGTGGACTAACATTATCATTATATAAAAAAAAGGAAAGAAAAATTCAACTTAATAACATTTATTTACAAGAATCAAACGGCTCCCCTTTGTGCTTTTTGGCCACCTGAGGCTCATCCTGATTCTCGGCTCTCAAAGCTAGCCTCGGGATCCGCTTAGATTTTAAATAGGTCATCGTCTCACTGGATGATCTGAAATAATAAATCAGAAAATTAGACGCGTTATTTATCATTCATACATTTTTCGCGCATCGATTACGGCATTCTAAGATCCTCTTTTAAAAAGTACAATATTTTTTAATCTCAGGCTGACCTCGCCTGAGGAGTTCTAGATTCAGTGGACATTTCCGTTGAATTGCCTTCAGATGAGTTCGAACTCGTGGAAGGAGAATAAGGAATGATCTGATACGTGGTGGTTCTAATAATCACTTCGGTGCTGGTATCGTTGCTTTCCATTTGATTTGATTGGTTGTTACTAACGCGATTCTCCGTATCAGCAGAGATTATTTTCTTTTTACTATTGTCGTCTCCATCCGCCTTCTTCTCGACGTTACTCTCAGTTTTCATTTTCAATTTACCGTCTTGCGTAGGGAAATTCACTACAGGAAGCGTAATATTTTTGTCGCCTTTTGTAGTGTTCATGAGCTTAACCAACAATTGCGACAACTCTTCTCTTTTTCTGGTCACGACTATTTCTTCGAACCAATTCTTTAATGTCTTTATTGGTAACGTATAGTCTTTAATCGGATTCTAAACATAAATTATTATTATTATTATTA